CTGGACTACGGAGTATTCTTTCTTCAATGTTTTGATTAGTCTTACTGATGATGGCCATGGTGAGTGTCTGTATTCTTCCTTGTTCTGTTTTAATAGTCTACGTAAACTCGCAACAATCTTTCTTACTGATGTTAAGTTAGTACCTAATATTTTCTGGATTTGGTTTGATATTGTTTCTTCTTTGGTGTACAGAGCATATGCAAGATATTATAGGGTTGTTGTTCAGGCATATTAAGCTTTTACAAAACTCTGGTGTTTCCCAGTGGATTTTTGATGAGGTATTGGTGTTATTAAGTTGTACGACTTTTGGGACCAATTGATTTAATGTCTTTATTGAGTTTGATACCTCTTTTATTATTGTTGAAGCTCTCAGCTATCTGTGAAGCAGAATTTCATTATCAAGCCAAAATAGACCCAATTTCTTATGTTGTGGGTATTTTATCAAACATGACGGTAATAGTATTTTTCAGCTTTACAATCGATTTCTCATACTTCGGCTATCATTTAAGTTTTTATATATCTATTTTTGCCTGATATATGTGTTGCCTTAACAGTGACTAAAGTTACGCAAATTTGATTTCATGGCAAAACATGTCACTGTATAAAACAAAAAGAAAATCTTATGTGTCCTCTGGCAATTGTGCTTCAGATATTCCCAACCAAGCATTGGCTCGTTGGATCATCACTGCCTTCGAAATTTAATCCAGCTACTGTACATACTGTTCTAAATGAGCTTTCTCCTAGCAATGTTCGGTAAGTCTATGTTGTTCGAATGCATCTTGCAGAAGCAATCAATGATCTCATTTTTATGAAAAAAGTCGTTTAGCTTTTTGGCGGTTGAATTTAAGCATCCCCTAGGCCTGAATGTGTTATGTTAGAATTTACATGTGGTTCACGCAATGAAATCCCGAATGCTCACGGCCAAGTAAGCTTGTTTTGTTGCAGAATCTAATGCATGGCATTATATTTGTAGAATCTTTTCGGAGTCAAATAAATTTGAAGGGCAAACTGACAAGGTTGAGCCATGGTATAACACTGCTTATTCTCTTGAGAAGATAACCATATCCACCATTCAGGTTGGCTTTTCATACATTGATTTAATTTCAGTGCTCGAATTTGTATTCTGTTTGATTTAATATTTTTCCTATTACACTTGAAAATGTTCAGTTTGGGTTTGTTCTTAATAATTACAGGAGTGGATGGAGTCTGCCCCTGATGTAAACTTGTCTCTACCAACGCCTAACGTTTTCATCCCTACGGATTTCTCATTGAAAGATGTTAAAGATAAGGTTCAATTCCATCACTCTAGTTACAATTTATAATCTTTAGTTTGATGTATGAAATGTTAAATAATCAAGTTCTTGAACAGGACATCTTTCCTATTTTGTTGAGAAAGACATCATTTTCAAGATTGTGGTACAAACCCGACACAAAGTTCTTCAAACCGAAGGCAATTGTTGAGATGGATTTCAACTGCCCCCTTGCAGTTAGCTCTCCGGACGCTTCAGTTCTTTCCAATATATTCGTATGGTTGTTGGTGGACTATCTGAATGAATATGGTAAGATTTGATAGATAAACCTCTTTCTAGACATATGTAGAATTGATTAATTTTTGGGAAGTATTCCAAAGTTGTCTCATGGAAAATAAAAATGTTTCGATATGATAGTTTTGTTATGAATTTCCGGTAACTCTCTTTAAATTGCACATTTTTTTCACAATGTTAGTACTGATTTTGATTATTGAGATGACAAGTCTACTGCTTTATATTGCATCTCATATGTTTCTTTGAGACAAGTTGAAAAATGTTTTTATAATGAAGATTTATAAGGCAAAGTAATTGTTTCAATAAAAATTGTATGTCAATCTTTAATTCTATGTTTCAGGTTATTATGCTCAGACTGCTGGTCTTAGCTATGGAGTAAATCTTTCGAACAGTGGTTTTCAGGTGGGTTTGTACAAGAATTACGACGTATTGTACAAGAATTATGACGTTTTCTTGTACTACTTTGCTTAATGAATTTCATGTTTCTCATTTCTAGCTCTCTCTTGATGGCTTTAATCACAAATTGATGATCTTATTGGAAGCGGTTATTCAAAAGATAGCAAAATTCGAAGTTAAACCTGATAGGTTTTCTGTTATCAAGGTAACCTTATTATTACATTTTAAGGTCTGTACATGGTACAACTTTCTCACTTCAGATAAGTCTTGTTACCAAATTTATTGAATCCATGTTATAGGAAACGATCACAAAGGCATACAAAAATTTCAAATTCCAACAACCATATGAGCAAGCAACAAGTTACTGCTCAATGGTATTACAAGATCGCACTTGGCCTTGGACAGAAGAACTAGATGCTCTTTCTCATTTGGAAGTTGAAGACTTAGCGAACTTCATTCCAATGTTATTATCACAGACATTTGTTGAGTGCTATATAGCAGGTATCAACATTCAAACTCTTGTACTAATCCTTTTGTTTTATTTTTATAGTCATTGTGGTTACTCATTTCAGGAAATGTTCAGAAGAATGAAGCTGAGTCAATGGTCAAGCATACTGAAGATGTTCTTTTTAACGACCCGAAACCGATTTGTCGTCCGTTGTTTCCATCCCAGTTCCTAACAAGCAGAGTTACAGAGCTCGGAACAGGATTGAAATACTTCTATCATCAAGAAGGCTCAAACCCAAGTGACGAAAACTCTGCTCTAGTTCATTACATTCAGGTATATTTTGGAAATGAAGTGATATCATCAACAAGTTTTTGCATGTTGTTAAGATTTTCTTGTAGAATTTGAGAGTTTAGAGGGTTTCTTCTTGTAGACATTCGTTTTCTTGCTAACGGAAATTAGTTTACGATGAACAGATTCATCAAGATGACTTTGCCATGAATAGTAAACTTCAGCTTTTTGGTCTCATTGCAAAGCAAGCCACTTTTAACCAGCTTAGAACGGTCGAGCAACTTGGTTACATCACTTCACTTTCTCCGTGGTTCGTAGTTATGTATCTCTGTACATGTGTTTGAATATCTTTGAGTTATGTTTGATGCATAACCACTTTTCTGCAACACAGCAACTACTCTGGTGTCTATGGTCTAATGTTCATTATCCAGTCTTCGGTTAAGGTACCAACTTTTCTTTTGCCTCTCTGCCACTTCAGACTTTGTATAGTTAATGCATATCTCCTTAATCGCCTTTTGAGGCTATGGTTAATAGGGTCCTGGACATATTGATTCAAGGGTCGAGTCAGTACTCAAGGATCTTGAGAGTAAACTTTACAAGATAAGCGATGAGGAATTCAAGGTAAGATAGTCCAACCAGATATTATTATAGATCATATTTGCTTTGCTTAACTGACATGACTTTTTCTCCTCAGAGCAATGTAACAGCTTTGATAGACATGAAGCTTGAGAAACACAAGAACTTGAATGAGGAGTCTTGGTTTTACTGGGGAGAGATTCAAAGTGGTACATTCAAATTCAACCGCGTAGATGCAGAGGTAATCACTGGCAAAACCACAAAGAAAACCGCTCAAAAGTTTGATATCTTTGTAGCTCTGTCTCTGAATTGAGAACCTCTTAACTTCCATAATGCAAATTCTGTTGGTGGTTTGTTTTGTGGTTAGGTGGCTGCACTGAGAGAGCTAAAGAAGGAAGAATTGATCGAGTTTTTCGACGAATACATAAAAGTTGACGCACCAAAAAAGAGATCGATGAGCATATGCGTTTATGGAAGCAAGCATATGGAGGAAATGGCATATGACAAAGAGAAAGTGGTATCCCAATTCATAGAAATCGAAGACATTGTCGGTTTCAGAAAATCTCAGCCTCTTTACGGGTCGTTGAAAGGAGCTGAAACTGTGAGGACGTCCCAACTCTTTGCGTGAGAATACACACAAACACTCGTATATACAAAAACGGTAGTATTGTATATGTGAATCTGTATTCATCTGATTGTAAGAAAAACAGAGTTTTTATCATTGAAAAAACACAAGATATGATAAGTCATAGAATCAAGGGGTCTTCTATCATTAAGTGTAGCATATCTCATTTGTGTTCAGCTTAGAATTGCATGGAACTGACGTGATTACATATTGGTGTGTGATTGTACCATTTGTTTGAATTTTGTTGTTGTAACAACCATTTAAAGAAGAAGAAAAACGTACATTCTTTGAGATCGGTTTTCATTTGGTCCGTTTAAGTTATAAATACGTGACTAATGTTGCACAAAAAAAAAAAAATACGTGACTAATAAAAATTTATTAAACTCAATGTTGCGGAAAAATTACAACCAATCCATTTTGAAGCCCATGAATTAAAGAGAATATATTAGATTAATTTTTTTATTCATTTGATCGGATTAAAATGATATTATTTGATCGGATTAATTAACGTATGTTAAAATGATATATGTAAAACTTTCAGATTTGTTAGGTTGAATATTAAGCATGAATTGTTTAGATTTTAAAGCCAAATTTCTTTTGTAATTTTTGTGGGATATATTACCTTTTGTTTATTTTATTTTTTGATCAACTGTGGGATATAAAAAGGTTTTGGTTGGTTAGATTATAGATTATAAAAAAAAAAAGTTTGGTGGTTATACAACCAAATAACTCTGTTACCTACTTGATGAATTTTCCAAAGAAAAAGAAAGATGTTGACTTGTTAGACATCTACAAGCGGAGACTGGACCAAAAACAAATAAAATACCCATAAAAAAAATCAAAAACAAATACCCATAAAACAAAAACAAATAAAATACCCATAGAAAACATTTTCTTTAACATAATTTTCCATAAACAATTACTATGTCATATATTTTTCATATTAATTATTGTGATATGCAATGAATATACCATTAGGACGGGTAGTAATCTAGTCATATTGACGAGACCAATATTGGTCTTTAACTTTTTCTCTCAACTAATATAAAAGAAAGACGTTGGACATAAAACGAGCGAAGACTCAAAAGAAGACTTAAAAAAAATCCAAAGTAATCGAACGGCAATGGCGATGGTGGTTGGAAGTACGGAGAACAATGCGGTGGATGAGATACTGAAGCCACGTACGGACAAGAGAGAGTATCGAAGGATAGTTCTAAAAAATTCTCTCCAAGTCTTGTTAATCAGCGACCCAGAAACTGATAAGGTAAAGGAAGATCGGTTCTTGTTTCTATATTTACCGATTATTTATAAGAAAAAGAAAAAAAAGTAATAAATTTGTCTTTGTTTGTGTTGTTAGTGTGCTGCTTCAATGAACGTTAGCATCGGTTCCTTCTCTAACCCAGAAGGATTAGAAGGGCTAGCTCATTTCCTTGGTAGCTTTTTAATTAATCCGGTTTTAATGCTTTTTTTTTAATTAGTCTTTTCATGTGGGTTTTGATAGTCATTGAGAAGTATAACATGTGATTTTGTGTTTATTGTTCAAGAGCATATGCTATTTTATGCAAGTGAAAAATACCCAGTGGAAGATAGTTACTCCAAGTACATCACAGAGGTATTGTAATTCTCCAGCTCTACTAGAATGTAAACTTTTTATCATAATTGGAATGTGCTTATTGGAGTTCTTACTTTTGTAGCATGGGGGGAGCAAAAATGCGTATACATCTAGTGAAGATACAAACTACCATTTCGATATCAACACGGATTCTTTTGATGAGGCTTTAGACAGGTACACTTAGATACATTTGTTTGCTTTTTTGGTTCCTCTTGCTTACTAATATTGTCTGATTTTTCTTTTTGCCTAACCAGGTTTGCACAGTTCTTTATCAAACCACTCATGTCAGCTGATGCCGTCATGAGGGAGATCAAAGCTGTCGACTCTGGTTAGCTTATTTTTTGTTTTTTTTAACTTTTCCGATCGCTTTCCTAATGCAGTTTCTTAAGTACCAAAATTCTAACGGAGTTCCTTCTCTTGCAGAGAATAAGAAAAACTTGTTGACTGATTCTAGGCGTATGCGCCAGGTATTTTCCCCTGCTTTCAAGAAAATATATCCCATTTTCTTATTAGCATTGAAAGATGATGCATAATTGACAATCCACAAGTTTGTTGATGTATATTTAGCATCTAACTTGATTTTTGTCTTACTTTTCGGTTGACACAGTTACAAAAGCATCTAAGTAGAAAAGACCATCCATATCACAAATTTAGCACAGGTATATGTTCTACCTTGGTGTTCATGTAACGAGATTTGGTGTTGTGATGCATATATAGGAAAAGTGATATATATTTTTTTGCATTAGGGAACATGGATACTCTTCATGTACGACCCGAAGCAAAAGGAATAGATATAAAGAGTGAATTAATTAAATTCTATGATGAACACTATTCTGCCAACCTCATGAATCTAGTTGTTTATGGGAAAGGTAGGTTTTGGATCCAAAACATTTTTTTTTTAAATTTCATAAAACAAAAGTATCAACATATATAAACATTTGTTCATCTCTTTCCTCTGGATATCTTCAGAAAGCCTTGATAAAACTCAATGTCTAGTGGAAGAGTTGTTCGAGAAAATTCGGAACACCAACAAGGGTATCCCTCGGTTTCCTGGTCAGCCGTGTACTCCGGACCATTTGCAGGTTTTGTTACTTATTTCGGCTTTAGCTAGCATTTACAAGGAATGAAGATAAGGAAATATTATAAAGTGGTGTTTTTACATTGATTTTAGGTTCTTGTGAAGGCTGTTCCTATAAAGCAGGGTCACGGGCTTACTGTTTCATGGCCTGTAACTCCTAGCATCCACCATTATGAAGAGGCACCATGCAGGTATCTTGGTGATCTCATTGGTCATGAAGGCGAAGGAAGTTTGTTTCATGCCTTAAAAATCAAGGGTAGGTTTTCTTTAGGGCCAACTGAATAGACGTTGTAGCAGATTCTACCTTAAATAGATAATTGATTGAAAAGAAGGTTCCCTTTAGCTCTTTAACTATGGTTTTCAAAACTTATATCTTAAATCTTTGGTAGTCTTGCTTAGTTTTTTCTAATACTTGCATAGGTTGRGCAACGGGACTGTATGCTGGTGAAGGAGAGTGGACTACAGAGTATTCTTTCTTCAATGTTTCGATTAGTCTTACTGATGCTGGCCATGGTGAGTCGTCTTTGTATCCTTCCTTGTTTTTGTTTATTATTCTACGAAAACTCAACTCGCAGCAATCTTCTTATTTGATGTTTAGTCAATACATGATACTTTTCTTGATTTGGTTTGATATTATATTGTTTCTTGCTTGGTGTACAGAATATATGGAAGATGTTTTAGGGTTGTTGTTCAAACACATTAAGCTTTTACAAAAGGATGGTGTTTCCCAATGGATTTTTGATGAGGTATTGGTGTTATTAACTCTGCTTTTTTAATTTTGCTACTTTTACTATGGATTCAGTGTCTTTACTACCTTGATACATCTTCTATTGTTGTTGCAGCTCTCAGCTATCTGTGAGGCAGAATTTCATTATCAAGCCAAAATAGACCCAATTTCTTATGTTGTAGATATTTCATCAAACATGACGGTAATAGTATTTTTCAGCTATCGTTTAAGCTTCTTATATATATATATTTATTTATGCTTGATATATGTGGCCTTAACACTGAACAAAAAGTAGAATAGGTGCTTTCCTTTGTCACAATTCCATAATCTATTACTAGATCACATATATAAAGTTTTATCTTGTGACTAAAGTTTTGAAACTTAATTTCATCGCAAAACATTTCACTCTTTTCAAAAATAATGTTATGTGTCCTTTGGAAATTATGCTTCAGATATACCCGACCAAGCATTGGCTCGTTGGATCATCACTGCCTTCAAAATTTAATGCAAATACTATACAAAATGTTCTAAATGAGCTTTCTCCTAGCAATGTCCGGTAAGTCTCTATTGTTCGAATGCATCTTGCTCAAGCAAACAATGACCTTAAGCTATCGAGCATATGATCTCATTTTTATGAGCAACGGTTGACTTTAAGCATCCCCTAGTCCTAGATGGTCTATGTTAGAATTTACGTGCATGTAGCTCAAGCATTAAAATCCTCACTGCTCACGGCCAAGTAAGCTCGTTGTGTTGCAGAATCTAATGCCATTATATTTGTAGAATCTTTTGGAAATCAAATAAATTTGAAGGGCAAACTGACAAGGTTGAGCCATGGTATAACACTGCTTATTCGCTTGAAAAGATAACCATATCCACCATTCAGGTTGGCTTTTATACATTGATTTAATTTCGGGTGCTCGAATTTCTATTCTGTTTGATTCAGTATTCGTTTGTGCTTGATAATTGAAGGAGTGGATGGAGTCTGCCCCTGATGTAAACTTGTCTCTACCAACGCCTAACGTTTTCATCCCTACAGATTTTTCATTAAAGGATGTTAAAGACAAGGTTCAGTTTCCATTACTCTAGTTACAAATTCTAATCTTTTGAAGTTAAAAGTATGAAATGTCACATAATCAAGTTTTTGAACAGGACATCTTTCCTGTTTTGTTGAGAAAGACATCATTCTCAAGATTGTGGTACAAACCCGACACAAAGTTCTTCAAACCAAAGGCATATGCTAAGATGGATTTCAACTGCCCCCTTGCAGTTAGCTCTCCGGACGCTGTAGTTCTTTCCAATATATTTGTATGGTTGCTGGAGGACTATTTGAATGAATATGGTAAGATTTGATAGATAAACCTATTTTGTTAATTTTCTTTCAGTTACAACTTTCTCTAGACATTAGGCAAAGGTAATTTGTATGCTAAACATATGTGGAACTAAGCCCTCTAAAAGGCTAGTAGGATTGATTAATTTAGGTAAATATTCCAAAGGTGTCTCATGGAAAATTAAAATGCTTTAGTTTTGTTATGAATCTCCGGTAACTCACTTTAAATTGCACAATTTTTTTTCACAAGATTAGTACTGATTTTAATTTATGAGATGACGAGTATGCTAGTTTATGTTGCAACTCTTATGTTTCTTTGAGACGAGTTGCAAAATGTTATAATGAATATTAAAACAAAGTAATTGTTTCAATAAAAACAGGGGAAAGTTGGCTTATAAATTGTGTTTTTTGTTATATCATGAAAATGAAAACTGTAAGTCAATATTTAATTCTATGTTTCAGGTTATTATGCTCAGACTGGTGGTCTTAGCTATGGAGTAAATCTTTCGGACAATGGTTTTCAGGTGGGTTTGTACAAGGATTATGACGTTTCCTTGTACTACTTTGCTTAATGACTAAACTGTTTCTCATTTCCAGCTCTCTCTTAATGGCTTTAATCACAAATTGATGATCTTGCTCGAAGCTGTCATTCAAAAGATAGCAAAATTCGAAGTTAAACCTGATAGGTTTCTAGTCATCAAGGTAACCTTATATAGTTAGATCCTTTTTTTTTAATGTTTGTACATGGTACAACTTTCTCACTTCATCTGATAAGTCTTGTTACCAAATTTATTGAATACATGTTTTTCTACTTCCCTATCCTGTTATAGGAAACGATGACAAAGGCATACCAAAATTTCAAATTCCGACAACCATATGAGCAAGCAACAAGTTACTGCTCAATGGTATTACAAGATAACACTTGGCCTTGGACAGAAAAACTAGATGCTCTTTCTCATTTGGAAGCTGAAGACTTAGCGAATTTCGTTCCAATGCTATTATCGCGGACATTTGTTGAGTGCTATATAGCAGGTATCAACATTCAAATGGTTGTATGATAGTCTCTCTAATCCTTTTGTTTTTTTTTATAGTCATTGTGGTTACTCATTTCAGGAAATGTTGAGAAGAATGAAGCTGAGTCAATGGTCAAGCATATTGAAGATGTTCTTTTTAACGATCCAAAGCCTATTTGTCGTCCGTTACTTCCCTCCCAGTTCCTAACAAGTAGGGTTTCACAGCTCGGAATAGGAATGAAATACTTTTACCATCAACAAGGCTCAAATCCAAGTGATGAAAACTCTGCTCTAGTTCATTACATTCAGGTATATATATTTGTGATCAGATTAGTACTTGATACTTGATACTTCAACTCTTTGAGATTTTAGAGGGTTTCTTTGTGTATACGTTTGTTTTCTTTCTAACAAAAACTGGTTTGCGATGAACAGATTCATCAAGATGACTTTGCCATGAATAGTAAACTTCATCTTTTCCGTCTCATTGCAAAGCAAGCCACTTTTCACCAGCTTAGAACCGTCGAGCAACTTGGTTACATCACTTCACTCTCTATTTGGTACGTAGTTATTTCTCTCTGTGTGTTTAAGTATCTTTGGGTTATGTTTGATATATAACCTCTTCTCTGCAACACAGCAACTACTCTGGTGTCAAGGGTGTAATGTTCATTATCCAATCTTCGGTTAAGGTACCGACTTTTCTCTGCCTCTCTTCCACTTCGGACTTTGTATAGTTAATGCATATCTCCTTAATTTGCATTTGAGTTCATGGTTTATAGGGTCCTGGACATATTGATTCAAGGGTCGAGTCACTACTCAAGGATCTTGAGACTAAGCTTTACAAGATAAGTGATGACGAATTCAAGGTATAGATCATATGGTACAAAGAGACATTCCACAGTCTCACCATTAAGCCTCTATAAGATTTTTAACTAACATGACTTTTTCTCCTCAGAGCAATGTAACAGCTTTGATAGACATGAAGCTTGAGAAACACAAGAACTTGTATGAGGAATCTTGGTTTTACTGGGGAGAGATTCAAAGTGGTACATTCAAATTCAACCGCGTAGATGCAGAGGTAATCATTTACAAAACCACAAAGAAAACCGCTCTGAATCTTGTTTGTCTTCATCAACAAAATGTTTAACTATTAGGACCGTTCAAGCCATTAACACAGCTTCTT